AATTAGTAGATAATAGGCTAAAAGTAGTAAGTTTATTTTAGTTTAGTTATTAATGAGTAATAGATTAAAAGTCAATATATTAGATTTAGTTAACGAGTTATAATTAGTAAGCTACTAAATAAATTAATTAGCAGTTATTAAGTTATAATTAGCAAGTAGTAGTTAAAGTTAGTTAGTTATTTAGTTAATAAGTTATAATTAGTAAGCTGCTAGATAAATTAATTAGCAGTTAATAAGTTATAATTAGCAAGTAGTAGTTAGAGTTAGTTAGTTAGTATTTTAGGTTAGGATTAGGGTTAGTTAGTAGAGTTAGGGTTAGAGTTAGTTAGTAGTTTAGATTAGGTTAGAGTTAAGTTTTAGAATAATACTCTTAGATTAGATTAGCAATTATTAGTATCATAGATCATAATGTTGTAAATTAGTTAGTTATTAGAATTATATGATTTATTGTAGTTTAAATATTATAAGGTTATATAATTATTCAATTATATAATATATATTAATATATTAAAATAGTATAATATAACTTTGTAGCATATATAAGCTTTTTCTTAATAAAATGATAGGCAAGATCGCCAAAAAAAAAAAAAAAAAATAGTATAATATATATAGTATAGTATATAGTATAATATATAATATATATTATATAATATATTTTAAATTATATAGTACTGGCTACATGTAGCCATGGCTATATATAAATTTTTCCTATATTAGAAGTAAAAATTATTTTTAGCTTTGTTTACATATAAAATTTGAAAAAATTTGACCAAAAATTTTAAAGTAAAAATTTTTAAAGCAAAACTTTAAAGATTTATTACTCAAAACTTTTATAATAATTTTAAAAAACTTTCTTAACAAAGTTGTTAAAATAAATACTAAAAAATATATTTTACTTAGAAAGCATTTATTTAAAGTTAATATTTTTGAAATAATTAGTATAAAAAGGGATCTTCATATACTCTGCAGCCAACTGGTGCCGGGTGTGCGGAAATAAAAAAGAATATATCACTAAATAATAATTTCAGAGAAGCTAAACCACTAATAACAAGGGCAATAGCCATTGTTTCAAGAAAAAGAAAGATGTCACAAGCGGTAGAGAAAAATTATGGAGAAAAACGAACCAAAATACATGATACCAGATATAAAAACAAGAACAAGGAAACTGAAGAGTCTCAAATGAATAACAATACGTAAAGCACGGCAAGACAGGATTTAAATAATAACCTCAGCAATAAGGAATCTAACACAAACCTAACTAACTGGCACGAAGATTTAGAACAAGAATACATAGTTAAGGGCACAACTAGCTCAGTAACAAATGGTGTAGATACTCCTCTAGACATTAACAAAAGAACAGAAAATTCTACGGAAGTGGAAATAGATGATCAGAGAGATCTTCTCGGTGAGAAATCAGATGATAAATTAGATGATACACCAATAGCAGCAAAACGAATAGATAACCCAGAACCTGAATTAGAGGCAACTAGCTCTAACGTTAATGAAAAGTATAGTTCTAAAATAGATACAAGCAGACCTTGGTCAAGCTTATTTCCGAAGTTACGAAAAGGACAAGCTACTTATAATACTTACTCACCCAGAAAAAGAATTGACACAAAGAACGACAATGCTCTAATCTTTGAGATACAGTATTTAGTCAGAATTCATATAAATGAAATTATCTTAGCAATATATGAGAAAATAGGAGATGACTTTATTGCAGCAAAACCTCATCTTACCAGAGGGGTTTGAACACACCTTGAAGTTGTTTTTGAGAACGAGGAGAAAAGAAAATTATATGCCACAGAAGGGATTACTATTTTTAAGCAAACCTTTTTTGGTTATATCCCTACTAACCTGAGACGGAGCTTCTTGTCAGTTAAAATCTGTAATGTTCCTCTAGGCAAAAAAGGTCTTATTTCTGATTAGTTAAAAGAGGCTTTCGAAGATGTAGGAACTATATCTTCAATAAAACTATTATTATACGAAGGAACTCCAATCTGCACAAATCAATGGGTGATCGTTTTTGAAACAACAGATGACCCAGATCTAGCAGAAAGGATCCCAAGAAATACTCATGTTTTAGAACAAAAAGTTTCAACAGAATAGAAAGAGGCACCGAAAGTGTGCTTTTACTGTGACAAAGTTAGGTATATAAAGAAGAATTGTCCTCAACTGCAAGAGTCGATAGAACTCAGACAGCAGCACAAAGAGTATAAAGAAAATAGGATTAGAAATGAGAAGAACGATAAAAACAAGAATACTAGGCCAGAGAAGATAGTTCTTAGAAAAGACAACCCTTATCTCAGAGATGAACATGTAAAGCCAAACACTAAACACAATCAAAAGTGCAAGATGAAGACACAAATGAAACAGAAACGATCATAACCACAGATGACGAAATCATGATAACAGATACAGAAAGTCAAGAATACATCGAAAGTCTACCACTACAAGAAATAAATGAACAAGCTGATAACAGCGAGAATACTCTCTCTAAAGTTATAGATAAAGAAATGATAATAGATAAAGATTTAATAGACACGACAGAAGTTCAATCAAATGACGGATTCAGTATAGTTACCAATAAGAAAAAAGCAAAAAAAAAAAAAGAAGAGAAAACCCCTATGAATGATAACAGAAATAATCCGTACAAAAGACCAAAAGGTAATGGAGATGGGAGAAAATCCTAGACGTGCAGATAAATAAAAATTGTTTGCATGCATAATTAAACTTTTTATATAATATAATGAACAATAAAACTATTAGAATAGCGACTTTAAACTTCAAAGGACTAAACAATAGACTCAAATATCGGAAATCTCTTACCTTACTTAAGAATTATAATTTAGATATTATTATGATACAGGAGACGAATTTAACAGATCAAAAAAAACGTGATTTCATAAAACAACAATGGATTTTTGATTCTTTTTGGACGACAAGAATGGCTATATTAGCAGGAAACTCAGAAATAAAATTTGAGGAAATACAAGAATTCATGGAGAGATGCATTATCTCTGCTAAATTTAAGTATAAGCAACGCAGTTACAAGGTCATGAATATATACGCACCACCCAATAGTGTAGACAGATCATCGTTCTTTAATAATTGGGTTCTGTAATTAGACAGCAACGCTATCAATATAATTGGGGGTGATTTTAACACTAATCTTAATCCCGACATAAATAGAATAAGCCAAGCCAATGCACACAATGACCCTACAAGAATACAACTCAATGAGATTCTGAAGGACTTTACAGATTCAGCCATAATTGCGGAGGAAAAACCTTTCCTTACCTTCTTCCAAAAAACCCGTGGTAGTAACCTTATAGCTTCGAGGTTGGACTACATATTTGTAGATAATAACTATATACAGTTTTGCTATAAAACAACCACAAGATTCGGAAATTCGGACCACCTTCTCATCGAGTGTGAATTAAGATTTATGATTTCTCCAACCAAAAGGGCGCTATGGAAGTTAAATATTAAAAGTTTATATAACAGCAGGGTAAAAAATGAGGTTATAGAGGAGCTATCGAACTATAAAGAAGCATCTGAGTGGGACTTTCAGAAATGCCGAATACAATCAATAATCAGAGCTTTTAAACCACCTAATGCACCTGAGTCTAGAATCTCAAAGTTAAATAAGAAGCTCATAGAAATAAAAGCTAAAATAATACGGAACCCAGATGATGAGGAATGGCACATTTTAAATGAACGAATCTCTTCTCAGCTTTAGGAAGAACTGACTAATCTTGCAGAAAAATAGCAGATTAGATCCAGTGCGCGTTGGATTGAGAAAGGAGAAAGTTCTACGAGGTACTTCTTTTCTAGATACAAAAAAAGGCACACTACAACAGCAATAACAAGCGTTCGCATATCAGAGAACCCGGAAGCTACAGACTCGAAGGACATTTTACATTATATTAAAGAGACATATGAATCTATCTATAAGGATGAACATATAAACATAGAAATAGCTGAGGATATAACAGAAGACCTCCCACAAGTTCCGGAAGAACATAATAAGGAACTACTAGAGCCTATCACAAAGTAAGAGATTATTGACATAATAAGTAATCTCCCGAACAATAAATCGCCTGGTTCTGACAGTCTCACATACGAATTTTACAAAGAAGTAAAGGAAGATGCTGTGCCAATACTAGAGAAATTATTTAATGAGGTCTTAGTTACAGGAATTGTGCCGAGATCATGGTGCAAAAATATCATAACGCTAATACCAAAAAAATCAAATAATTTAGAAAATATAGGTAATTGGCGACCAATCTCGCTTACAAACTGTGATATGAAAATATTTTTAAAAATCATAGCATGTAGACTAAACACTATATGCAAAGAGTTAATAGGTCATTATCAACAGGGATTTATCTCCGGTCATTTAATAACAGATGCAGCATTGGATATTATTTCCACTATGCAACATCAATCGGACCAATCCAAGCAATATTGGATATTATTCGTAGACCAGGAAAAAGCATTTGATCGTGTTAATCATAATTTTTTAAAAAAAGTATTGGAAAAAATGAACTTCGACCATAGATTTGTAAGGCTGATTCAAAACCTCTAGGCGGAACAAAATGCTCATATTGTAGATGGAGGTATACTCTCTGAATCTTTTAAAATAAAAAGAGGAGTATGACAGGGCGACCCATTATCCCCTCTTCTATATGTTCTTGCATTTGAACCGTTCTTGAGAAACATAAATAATAACATTCAGGGTGTGCATGTATTAGGGCAAAAGTTTAAGTTAGCTGCGTACGCAGACGACCTTACCATCAGAATAGGATCAAACACAGACTGGATTACCTTTTTCTCAATAGCTCAAAAGTATGAAGCCGCATCAAACGCAAAAATAAATTTAAACAAATCTACTCTAGTGCCTCTTACAAGTAATGCCTGACGAGTTGAATTAGAAAAAGAAAAAACCATTAAAATACTTGGGGAAGAGGACAATATCACAATTTTAGGTTACTATATTAATTCGAAAGGGAAAATAGACAAGGATTTATGGCCTAACATAATTGCAAAATTAAAAAAACAAATAAACTCAATGACTCAACAAAACCTATCTTTCACAGGTAAAATTATAATTGCCAAATCACTTATTATTTCACGAATATGGTACTTGGCATACATATATTCCCTAAGCAAAAAGCAGCTGAATGAAATAAATAATGCATTAATGCAATGGATCAAAAACAAGTCACGTACGCTCCCCAGATACGCGATTTTTCAACAGGAATATGAATTTGGAGGTCTAAAAGCCCTAGTAATAGAAAATATGCTAGAAGCCAGATTGATGTCGATATGGATTAAACTATTAACTTCAAATAACCTATGGATAAAGATAGAACAAAAATTGATCGAAGAATCATTAATGCAGAAACGCAGAATTACTGTTAAAGCAGCCCTGACAAGTTCCCCCATAAAACTGAAAGGATAGCCAGATGATTGGAAAGCCTATGTTACAGTATGGAAACACCTAAAAGGACAAATTGAGGATACATCAGATATCTGGCCCTGGCTGCCAGATAAAATTAAAGTCGCAAATTTATATGCCAATGCATATACAGTAAAAATGGCAGTAAAGTTTCTAAGAGAAAAATCAATCAAACTTACGTTCACTCAACAGGAAACAAGTAAAAAGAGTCAGAATATCAAATGGAATTGGATGTGCATACAAGATGTGGAAAACAGGAAAAAAGATATTTTCTGGCGTTTACTACATAAAGCCCTTCCGTTAGGGTATAGGCTACAACATATGAAGGATACAGAGAATGGGTGTTGCCCTTACTGCTCAGGAGACAAACAAACAATAGAGCACTTTGCAATCGAGTGTCATATTAGTAAAACAATATGGAGGGTCATATATTTATTAACAAATTTTACGCAAGACATAGCCCCTCCAACCACATTAGAAGATCTTTACTTGATTAGACGAACTAAAGATAGAAAAAAGAGGGCCAATATTTTGTGGTTGCACATTAATGTAATATATGAAATTTGGTTCTGCTATACACACGCGAAATGGGGAGAAGGCCAGATACCAGGGCCAGTACTTCCATACATCATTAAAAATCGCATGGGTAAAAGCATTAAAATCTCACATGTGAATAGAAAATAGACAAGAACAACAGAGGAAATATGGTTGAATGCTGTTAAGTACGGTTAGTTACTGTAAAACTTAAATGAAATAGTTAAATTAATAAAGAGCGCCTCTATGGCCTCCCATGGGGTTCTCATAGGTTAAAACCGAAAAAAAAAAAAAAAGTTAATATTTAAAGTTTTATTTTAAAAATTACAAAAATTAAAAGTAGACGTAGGCAAATTTGCCTGTGTTACAAATTAAGGGATAAGATAATTTATAAAATATAAATAAATAATAACTAAATAATAAAAATAAAAATAAAAATAAAAATAAAAAATTAAAACTCATTTAATAATAATAATAAAGTAATAACATGTTAGGATCTGAGATTTTATTTTCTGATTATTTATATAACTTCTATTATATATATATAAAGCACTAATTACTCAAAACAGATATAATAAAAACTTTTTATTTTAAGCATTGCATTATTTAGCTTTATTTAATAATATTTATATCTAGTATCTATATAAAAATACTACTATAGTATTATAGAAAGTGTATTTTAAGCCTTCTTATACACTAACTATAACAGAGACACAGCTATCTAAAGACTTTAAGAAGTAGTATTAAAGAGGAAAGTATAATTCTTATATCATTAAAGAATCATACTTATCTCTAAAGAGGCAGTTCATTTATAATTGATATATTTTATTAAAGATAAATATAGTTAGAGTAAGATAAATGAGTAGTTATACTCTATAACTATAAGGAAGAGGATTTGAGCTCTATCTATTATTAGGAAAAAGGATAACTAGCTGACTTTTAGGAATATTGAACTTGAAGGAAAAATTACTTGTATTTATATCTTTTAGTAAAGTTTTGTAGAAGGGTCAACTAAGGGTTATCAAAAAGTTATATAGGCATTATCTAGGCATTTGTACTAGTATTACTTAGGTGTCACTTAAGCATCACTATAAATAGATTGGTACAGTAAGTAGTACAATATTTGGCATAGTAATTATTATATTATATTAGATATCACTTGAGTTTTCTTCATATTGTACATAATAACTTCAGATAAAACTTATATCATCGTGTAGCTATAGTTCTTATCTAGAAAGTTACTTAGAACTATTTTTCGATCTGAACGTTTCTTAAGGAAGTTTACTTAGAGGTAAATGTTTTTTACAAATTTCTATACTATAAAATATCTAAACTAAAATAATACAAATATAAGAAATAATACTAAAATACTAATAAATTCAACTAATAAAAATATAATATAAATTATGCTAAAATCTATTTTATAACAATAGATTTAGTAATCTTAATATAGTAGTTAGATTGCTAGACTGCTATACAAGAGGTCTAGAGTTCAAATCTACTATTAACGAATTTGAATAATTAAACCTTTAAATTCAACTTATGATAAACTCTGTTTATTTTTGAAGATTATAATACTATAAATTATATTGTACTAATATCAATTAGACATTAGAAGTATAACATAATATTTGAGTTATATTGAATGAATAAATCTTGATAAAATCTATGAGCAAAGAATCTGTATAGTAGAAATTCTGAGTTTAGTGAAGTAGTATAGATTTTGACAGTTTTTTTTTTTTTTTTTTTTTTATTTGATAAACATACTATCGGTGAGATTTTTATTGGTATAGATAGTTTTGAGCAATGATTACATATATGAGAGTACAACTAGCAATATATACAACTTTAGATTATCTAATTTAAGTAGTCTGCCTGAAGGTTCTATACTAGCTGCTATATCTAAAATTTGTTTGAAAATTCCCTATTTAAACTCTCTAGCTATATACCATTTCTATCCTGCTATCATTTATTACCTAAATTCACCTAACTCTATACTACTTCTATTTTTAAAAGATATCAACAGAGCTGATATGAGTCTACAAACTTTATGATTCAACCTATCAAATGACCTCCTAAACTGGTTCTATCAGAATATTTAGTCTTTACGAAACTTTTATCAATACCAATGGGAAATAGCCTAAAATATTACTGCTAAAACCAAATGAACTAAATTCTCCTATCCAACAACTCCTTCAATAACAAATACAAATACTATACCTAATCAAACAAATAATTCTGAAACTGAAATAAAAAAATAGTTTTTACAAGGCTCTTCACTAATTATTTCAACTTTATAATGTCATGATTAACACCTTAGGTCTCCTCCAACTTCTCCTAAACTAAAATTTAATTTGAAATAGTTAAAAATAATATTAAAATAGGGAATAGGGGGTGTAATATTACATTGGGTGCTTTGTTTAATGATATTAAACTTATGTAATACAAATGTAGTTTAAAATCTTTAAAAACAGAACTTTTGTTCTACTTATAAATAAAGTTTCTACTATGGCATTATTTTACAAAAAAAAAAAAAAAAAAAAAAAAAAAAAAGTATACTTAATACTCTTCTACTTTATATTTACTTATTTCTTTTTATATTACTTTTTTTACTATTATCTTAAACAATTAAATAATCTTCTAGCTGATAATCTTTTTTTTACTTGAAGCCTTCAAACAATATTAGAAAATTTAGAATTTCTTATAATTAATTTAGATAATAATTTCTTTGAATTTAGTATCCAAGTATAAAATAGTTTAAGTCAAAATCTAGAATCAGAAAATATAGTTATAGAACTTCAATCTACTATATTTTTACTCTTTTATAATAAAAATACTACTTATATTAACTTCTTTTTATAAGATAGAAACAGAACTTACTTATCTCCTTTTACTGAAACTTCTAACTTTCAAATAGTTTAAACAACTTTTCCTTCTCATAATATCTTTAATCTTGTTACCTCTAGAATTGTTTAACAAGTTTAATAACTTATTAATTTTATTACCAGAACTACTTCTTTTTCTAATTTAATAGATAACTTTTTTGTTTTATCTAAAAACTATTCTTTATCTAATTTCTCTTCTAAAAACTCATCTTCTTTATATTATACTCCTCTTTATATTTTACTTTCTCAATAACAACCTCTTTTTCTTTTTCTAATAACTACTTCTCTAATTACTAAAATCTCATAAGAAAAAATCAAACTAGAAACTTTTAATTAATTTCTATCTTTTTATCAGGAAGCTTCTAATCAAAATAATAATCTATATAACAAAATAGTCTAAATTTTAGATGATATAAATCTGAATAATAATATTAATATCTAAGAAAAATTTTATTTCAATAATCTTTTTGAAAAAATAACAATACAAAAGCAAAAAATTAAGAAGACTTAAATAATAAAACTATAACTACTATTCAAATAGATAAACTAGAAATATAAATAGATAAACAAGTCTTACAAAATACTGCTAAAGTTATAACTACTTTAGCTAGAGCTCTAAAAGCTAATAGTAAAAAGTCTTTAGTTATAATAGAACCTTTTTGTGATAACTGTATCTAAAACATAATTAAAAAGAAACTCTTTCCCGCACATCACAATTTACATATAAAATTTTTTTTTACGAGAAAAAGTTAACTGGAAACAACTAACTAAGTAAAAATTCTTAAAGAAGTGCAAACACAAACTACTAGAGTGCTAACAAGCACTCCACACAAAACAACACCTACACTAAATAATAATAAACAGCAAAAAAAAGAGAGACAGGAACGACAGCAACAAAGAAAACAGACTCAGGAGTATCTCCCAAAAAGAAAACCAAATAACCAAGCAACACCAACAACAACCACAACAAAACAAAATGAGCCAAGTTCACAATACAAACAGACAACGACAAGAAGAAGTTGAAGAAACTGAAATAGATAACAACCAAAACCTCAAGAAGAACAAAAGACGCAAAACTATAGATACACCCCAACCCAATATCAGAAT